GTGTGTGTGTGTGTGTGTGTGTGTGTGTGTGTGTGTGTGTGTGTGTGTGTGTGTGTGTGTGTGAACAGGAGTGAGATCATAGTCTTGTTTCAGGTTCAGCTGCTCAGAGTGTCTGTGGATGATGCTGACTCATGAACCTCCTCAGTCAGGAGCTGCTCTCAGCTGGACCGGTCAAACACTCCGCTTCATTTAGGAAACTTATAAAGCTGAGAAGAAGAAGTTTGATGCTGCTGCTCTGAATTCATCTGTCTTGTTTCTAAAGTTTTCACCCTCATGGATGTTTTTTTTTAATTTTTTGTCTCCAGATGTCCCACTCAGACCACGATGTAGACTTCCCTGACCTCTCCCTCCAGTCCCTGGGTGGTCCTGCAGACGAGGGTCCAGCTGTGTGAAACCCAACGAGCCTCTCTTCAGCCGTCTCCTTCGTCCTCAGAGGGCTTCCAGAACCTCCAGAACCTACCTCCTCCTCTCCCTCCCGGGCCATGGACAGCCCCCCTAAGCTGTCCGGCGAGACCCTGATAGTGCACCACATCCCCCTGGTGCACTGTCAGGTGTCAGGGGGCCGGCAGGGGGGCTGCGGGAGCTCGCTGAAGAGGAGCAACCCCTTCAGTCCCCCGGAGAACCTGGGTCTGAGCCGGACCACCTCGCTGCCTGAGAGGGACGTCCTCCAGAGGGAGGCTCTGCTCTACAGCAGCCTGATCCAGACCTCCAGCGGCTCCTGGTCCTCCCGCGACGCAGGGAGCAAAGGAGGCGGGAGGGGCGGGAGCACGGCGAGCGACGACTCCTCCTTCACCTCCAGCAACTCCGAGGAGCAGCTGGTGACGGCCCACACGCTGCCCAGAACCAGAGCCAGGACCAGGAACCCTTTCCGGCACAACCCCTTCCTGCTGAACGCGGGGGACGATGAGGACGACGAGGACGACGGGGACAACCTGAACGGTTACCTGGAGGACTCCTCCTTCCACCTCCACAGCCACACAAGCTCCGCCCTCGACGACGCCTCGGCTCCGTTCCACCTACACGACCTGGACCTGGACCTGGCCTCGGAGCCCTTCCTGCTGCACCGCTCCGCAGGAGGCAGCAGCCGGGGGTCCCTGAGGGGGGCCGCCTCGGTAGGTCCTTTGTTACGATCATCAGTCAATCAATTAATCGTGCGATAAATAATTTTGAGGTAGATAAAAACACGAGGACGATAATTTTCATTTGTCTGCTTGTTAGCTGTGAAGGAATTTATTGTTTAGAAACTGGTGTTAAAAGCACCACACCATTTTCTTAGTTTCCCTTTTAAGTATTAACTTTTATGATCTATTGTTTGACTATTATTATGTCTTGATTAAAATAGTTTAGATACATGCCCGAACCACCAACAACACAGAAAAACCGTTATCAATTCATTAGGGAAGGTAATGTTTGTCCGAGTGGCCTGCGATGCAGCCGTAGGCCTGTAGAGGGCGCACCAGGCACTGAAGAACTGTGAATGTATAAAAGACCGGAACGTCCGGTTTGTTTTCAGCACAGCTCGGCTTCTCCAGTCGGGAGAAATAAAAGCTTCACTCGTAACCAGATCTGGGTCGTATTGTTCCAATTCTCTTCGCATTTTAATCGATTCATTATTTATATGGTTTCGTCTCGATTCCAGTTTAACGAACACTAAATTTTCTTACAGGAGTGTAACGAGATCTCGTACAAAATCTCGCGATGTTAAACTCCCGCGATCTCTCTCATTGAGAGGTAACTGTTGTCTGGCTAACAGCGTTGCCAACGTAGCGACTTTGTCACTAGATCTAGCGACTTTTTAGACACCTGTAGCGACAAATCCTGGTGTTTTTGGAGACGTTAAGAATCTTTGGCGACAGGTCTTTGCTTCGCGAGCAGCGAGCGGTGCAGTTAGCCCCTCCCTCTTCCTAAAGTGGTCCAACCAGAGCCCTAAAGAGAGCTCTGATAGATGTTCATAAAGGAAAATATAATTACTTATTTTGTTTTTCATTTATGTAGAATTTTTGGTAAGTTTAAATGTCATAGAATAAGTAAAGACATAAAGAAAAGGAATAATTACTTTGTTTTATATTTATGTTCAGTTTTAACATTAGACTTTATTTGATAAACACATTTTAACTGTAAAATAAAGACTGTAAAATACTGTAGGCTGTTTAGTTTTGTAAATTTTACAAATATATTTTTTAACATGGACGGGGCAATTTTATTTACCGGTACACACAAAGCATTCTGGGTAAATGATGACGTGGATAGGTCCTCGGTGCGAGGCTGCTAGCGAGCTATATCCACCCTGAAGGTT